GCTGTTAAAGTTCTGGTGCTCTAGGCTGGGGAGGAAGTAGAGAGGAACCAGTTCTGTGTTCCGAGGGCCATGTCTCCACACTCCCCATTCCCAGGCTACTCTGCCCGTAAGCCCCAGCTTCCCAGAAGCACACAGATCTTTGCTCATGCTGTACCCTCTGACCCTCCTCTCAGGCTTTCCCGGCCGAGGAAATCTTTCTCATAGTCCAGGATTCAGAGGCGAAGCCTCCAGGGATCTTCCTACAAATACACCTCCACCCTCAGTCCAAATAAACCTCTTCCTTCTCTGGATCCGGCACCAACAGACACTGGGTGAACACACTGTATTCAAATTATTTGTGTAACCCAGGGGTCCTCCCCAGATCCTCCAGTTGACAAGGGTCACTAGTTCTTTAAAATTGCATCCACAACCCCCTTATCCCTTCCCAACAGAACCCTCTGGCCAGCCCCCTTATTCAGGGAAAGCCTGCCCCCATATCAGTTCCAAGCCTGTAGACGGAGAAGGCAAAGCCAACCAGCTCCTGGCATTGTTTTGGTGTCGTTATTGGTCCAGGGATGACCACATGACACGGCTTGCCCAGTCAGACTGAGGGGAAGGCCCTGGATGTCTGGTTTAGGGGCATAGCCTCTCCCTCTTGCTGGGAAAGAGTAAGGATGTTTGACGGTCTAGGTGTTGCTGGCAGCCATCTTGCCACCAAGAGGGGAGCTGACCTTAGACTGCATCCACTGCACAGAGCAGGACGCAGAAAGCTCCTGGGTCCTTATGCCATCGTCAAACCATTGAATTAATCAATCCTGAGGCCAGGAATGCGTCAGGACTTCCTGTTGGTGAAATAATAAATTACCTTAATGTTTAAGCCTATTGAGTCAGGTGTCCACATCACTGACCACAGCACAAGAGCTCACATTTAACTTTTTGAGCACTTCCCGTGCACCAGGCACTGTTCTGAGAGCTTTACGTACTTAAATTCACTTAACATTCACAACTACCTTCGTGGGTTGATGTGATTCGTGTCACAGGTCACAGCACATTTTCTGGAGTGAGACCTCCTGGGTTTTCACAGCTCTGCTACCTATTGTGGAAACGTAGCCAGCTGCTTCCCCTGCCTCAGTGTCCTGGCCTGCAAAGAGCACCTACTCTATAGGGTTGTAGCAAGGGTTAAAATAGGATAATCCACATAAAGTCCTTACACCTTAGCCTTTATGTTATTATTCTCATTTTGCAGACGAAACCAAGGCCCAGAGAGTCCAGGACAGGACCCACGTTTACGTGGGCGGTAAGGGAGTCAAGCCCGCACAATCTAGTGCTCAGTCTGCAGTCTGGACCACCTGATTCAAAGCCCTAGTGCCCAGTGGGGAGAAGCCTGGGAGATGGGCAGGTTACAGGCGACCCATCTCACTGGCCTCCCCGGACCGCATCCACTGAATTGGCCCTCTCCAGACCTCTCTAGGGCCCCGTGTGTGCTGTCCACACCCCCACGCTCAGTCCTGGAAACCCCCGCCCCTAAGTGGTGGGAAGGCCCAGGTGTGGCAGGTATCCGTCTGGAGGGTTAATGGCGACAGAGTCACTGCTCAACAGTTGAGTCTGATTAGTAAATATCCTTCATCTTAAAAGTCCCGCAAACATTTCCACCCCGGGAACAATGGGACCCTGGACAGGTTGCCTCTTTCTTCAGGCTCCATTTCGCTGCTCTCGTCCTCTTCACCCATTTCTGGTCACAGGTCTTCCCTTGTTTCCTTGCTCGAGGCCTTCCTGGAGGCTGTGGCCAGGGGGAGGGCAGTGCCCTTCACACCCGAGGTGGCCACCAGTGTATTTGGCCATGCAAAGACCCCCCCTTCTTCCAGGAGGAATGCTGTGGCCGGGTTTCAACGTGGCATCCCTCCCTCTGCCAAGTCTGTGAGAATCTTGAGGCTCTGGGGTGGGTGGATTCAGGCCTCTGGCTCCGGGGACCCAGCCTCATTCCAGTGAGTGTCCAAGGAAGGAAGACAAAGTTAACGCACGCTGAGCCCTTCCCGACTCTGCGGCTCCCCCCACCTCCCCATGAGTCAGTACCGAAACCAGGCCTCTGAGCCTTTCCTGTTCCCTTCCCAGGCTCCGGAAGAACGGCAGGACGGGAGCTGCGCCCAAGCCATTTTTGGACTTGGCCGAGCAGCAGGTGTTGGCAGGCTGTCCCCAGGGGCTAGGCGCATTGCTCAGCTCCCCACGTCCCACAGCCAACCCCCTCCTCCCACCCCGAAGATGGGAGAATCCCATCCCAGGAGATGAGTGATGGATGCCCATGGATGGGTGCATACACTGTGCACCCCAGCTCCTGAACAGAGGGGACAGGGTCAGAGAAGTTCAGAAGATAAACCTGGAGCCAGAGGATCTGGGTTCAAATCCCCCAGCACATTCACTCTCTGCCTCAGCTGCCCCATCTGTTTAAAAAAAAAAAAAATGAGGATACTGATAGTCCCTCCCTCCAAGACGGCGAGGAATAAATGCATTCATATCTGTAAAGCACTCAGAAGAGTGCCTGGCACGTAAAAAGCACTAAGTTGGCGGCTGGCTGGCTCAGCGGGTAGAGAATGCAACTCTTGATCTCGGGATCGTGAGTTCCAGCCCCGTGTTGGGTGTGGAGCCTACTTAAAAAAAATAAAAATCAATGCCAAAAAAAGGCACTAAGTTGGTATTTGTTTAATGAAAAACATAAATTCGGTAAATATTTAGTGAGGGCCGGATCCAGGCCAGGTTCTGAGAATACGCCAATGAGCAAAAACAAGGACAGACCGACTTGGTAGAGTGGGGTGGAGCCCGGAAATCTGTTAGCACATGGCATTCACAGTCAGGTCTAAACTTCGCTGAACTAGTGGTGAAACTGAGGCATGGGAAGGAACAGGCTGTGGCCAAGGTCTTGCAGCTGGAGAATAATAACAGCAAGCGCCAAAGCTTACGGAGCACTTTTAACGGGGCAGACACATTGTTGTTAAATTAGCGTTTTGTCCTCGTCCCCAGGTTATAAGTGAGGAACTGAGCACAGAGAGGTTAAGTAACTTGCTCAAGGTCACACAGCTAGGAAATGGTAGAGCCAAGACTGAAACTTAGGCAGCCTGGCTGAGCAAACAGCCGAATAAAACTAATAATTAACTGTTGTCTATTGGGTGCCCACAAAGGTACTGCAAAATACATCATCTGTTTTCATCCTTACACCACCCGATAAAGTAGGCACAATTACTGTCCCCATTTCACAGATGAAGGAACTGAGGCCCAGGGAGAGTATGAGATTTACCCAAGTTCTCACAACGAGGCTGTGGCACAGCTGGGGTTTCTAGAAACTAGGCTAATCCTGCCTCCCCAGACCTCTTAATTCCCAGCAGCTTTCCCTGACCTCCGTCGCCCTCCATCCCTTCTGGGCCCAGGGAAGTGCGTGCAGAGAATGCAGAAGCCACTGAACCACAGTCTGGACAAATGAGCCTTATGAGCAGAGTCCTTCTGCCAAGCAGAGAGAGCCCTAGAATGTAGCCAGAGCCAAGTGGATGCTGTTCTGGCCCAGCCACGGCCCCCCCATTCCCGGCGGCCCGACCGCAAGATTCAGGATTCTCTGAGAGGACTGGACTCCGCCAGGCTCAGAACACACCAGCGGTGACAGCAGCGCTCAGCTCTGCTGGATCGTCCACACGCCTTACGTAAGGGTTGGACTTCACAACAACCTTATGACGAAGGTTCTAGTATGTCCATTTTCCACGGGGCAGGACAGTTGAGTGTGAAGAGCATTGACCGGAGCTGGCGTTCCGAACCCTGCTCGGCCACTTCCGGGTCACGGCCTCGGGCGACACTTAATCTCTCCGGGCCTCAGCTCTCTTGTCATTAGATCGAGGACAGTAACAGTACCTACGCCTCACAGGGCGGATAAGGAAACTGCAAGGGCTAGGACATTGGAAAGCGCTTAGAACAATGCCCAGCACATAAATAAGCACCATGTGTTTGCTATTTTAAGGAAACCGAGGCTCAAGGAAGTTCTGTGACTCGGCCCACATCACTCAAGTGCCATGTAGAAGAATCGGGCTTGAACTCAAGTCTGTTTGCTTCCGGAACAGCCCCCTCGTCACATATGAGGGGCGGAGTCTCCTGATGGATGAGCAGGGTATTCGGGCTGAGGGGAGATAAATACTTTAGGTTGAAGAAACAGCATTTGCACAGAGGTGGAAATGGGCCGCAGAGCTGCCTAGTCGTAGCGCCAACCCCAGCCCCGCAGCACCAACACCCAGCCAGGCCCCCCCGGTCCGAAGGCAAGTGAGGTCAGTCCAGAAGCATTTCTTGGGCACTTACTCTGTGCCAAGCCAGGCACTGGGTACTAAGAAAAGAACAAGATACCATAGGTCTTGCCCTCAAGAAGCTCAAATAATTTAACCGAAGGGATGGATATACAAACAAGCAGATCACTAGGAAACAGTCTAATAATGCTTCCGGAATGGACAGGAGCAAAGAGCAAATTCTCCCTGGGGAGGTGCTGCGGAAGGCTCTGTGAGGGAACTGGCATTTGAACTGGACTTTTAAGAGCTGAGCAAGGACAGGGGCGCCTGGGTGGCTCAGTCGGTTAAGCATCTGCCTTCAGTTCAGGTCATGATCCCAGGGCCCCGGGATCGAGCCCCGCGTCAGGCTCCCTGCTCAGTGGGGAGTCTGCTTCTCCCTCTGCCTCCCCCCACTGTGCTCATGCTCTCTCTTTCTCTGTCAAATAAGTAAATAAAATCTTTAAAAAAGGAGAGAGAGAGAGAGAGAGCTGAGCAAGTGTGAAAGGGGGAAAGTCAGTCCATCCCAAGTAGAGTGGCCAACAGAAGTCACCAAGCACATGGGGTGTTCAAGGGAATGGCAAGTCCAGAGCAAGGCAGATGGGACTGCAAAACTGGCTTGAGGCCACTGTATTGGTCATAATCCTGGGTTGCAAGAGACGGAAAACACAATTCCAAGAGGCTTAAATGAAAAGGAAATGTACTGACTCAAGAAACAAACAAACAAACAAAAATAATTGAGCTTATCTGCTTCAGGTACAGCTGGATCTAGGGGTTCAAATGATGCCACCAGGACTTGGGCTCCCATCTTTCTGCTTCCTTTGTTGACTTCACTGTGGAGCAGTTACTTTCCAAATGAAGGCAGCTCCAGGCTGACACCCTCCCAGTTCCAAGCCCTGTGGAAGGAAAGATTCATTTGTCCAAACGTTTAAACACAGATTCTGCAATTGCATCTCTCTGGAGTTGTTTGGGTCACATGCCTATGCCTGAACCAGTCACTGTGTGGAAGTGGGGGAGAATACCTCATTGGCCAAATTGGGGTCACATGCCTATCCGTAGGTGTGAGCCCCACCCACACCACGGGGACTGAGGGTGGGGGAAAGATGGTTTCCTGGGAATAAGAGGATTTAGTGTGGGCGCCTGGGTGGCTCAGATGGCTAAGCGTCTGCCTTCGGCTCAGGTCATGATCCCAGGGTCCTGGGATCGAGTCCCGCATCGGGCTCCCTGCTAGGCGGGGAGCCTGCTTCGAACCTCTGCCTCTGCCTCTCTCTCTGACTCTCATGAATAAATAAATAAAAAAAAACATTAAAAAAAAAAAAAGAGGGTTTAGTGATGGGAAGAAGGGGTAGATATTGAGTGGGCAAAGACGGTGGTCTGGACCCCGAGGCCATGGTCCTTCGGGCAGTGGGCAGCTGGTGAGGACTTTAATTCACTGAGCAGCTTAGATCAGATTTGTGCCTTGGGAATGGAGAAGGGGGAGTGGATGGGGGCAGATATATTTGTAGGAAGATGCAAGTCCCTCTGAGAGATCCTGGAAGCCTGGGCAGAGGGCATGGAAAAGAGGGGGGATGTGAAAGACGCCTGGCTGGGATGCCCCAGTTGTTACTGGAAGGGCTTTTCAAGGACCAGGACCACGTCACCCTCTTGCTATGGGCCTGCAGATGCCAGCGAGAGCGTGGGCTGAGGGCCCGGTCTCCCATCCCCCCCAGAACCCCATGACTAACTCTTTCCCTCCATCTGCTCCCACACTTATTCACCCCCCCCACCCCCACTCCAGCCCCGGGCCCCAGAGAACCTGATCTCCTGGGCCTCAGTTGTGGGGTGGTGACCTTGACATCAGGTGGTCGTGAGGGGGTGGCTCAGCACCTTTACCTCTCCCAGCCTTAGCAACCCCTTCCTTAGTTTCTGATCTCCCCACTCCATGCCCCTGGGGCCTGGGACAGCACCTCGCGGGCTACAGGCAGGCCAGCTCCTCTCTCTGGTGAAAGGAGCCATTGTGAGATCAGCCTGAGAGCTGGCAGGAGCTGGGCTGGCATACGTGGCTTTCCCAGAGGCCCTTGTCCAGCCATTCCTGTTTCTGGCTGCTTGGGCCTTTCCAGAGAGCAGGGAGGAGGCCAAAGGGGGCTTGGGCGGCTATAGGGGACTTCTGGGCCTGCAGCAGCTAGGCTCCGAGTATATGCTTGCCATCTGCCTGGGGTCTGAGGGAGGAGCCTGGAGGGCAGGGTTGGCTGCTGGAACCTTCAGAAACTTGGAACAGGAGGGCCTTGCCAGCTGGACCCCAGCGGATCTGGGGCCTTTGCCAAACTGAAAGCCATGGTGTGCCGGACAAGGCCAGAACCCTGTTGCCCAGCAGCCTAGCCAAACTTGAAGAGCCACGAAGGGAGAGGCAGGGCACTGAGGCCATCCAGGAAAGGTTATGGGGCTTGGGGGTGGGTGGTGAGAAAGGGAGGAGCTTAAGCTGTACAGTGTCAGCACAGAGTGCCGGAGAGCTTCCAGACTGAGCCTGTGGGGTTGTGTTACAATACTTAGCTACTATTTATTGGGTACCTATTAAGTATTGAGCACTGTGCCAGAAACTTTATATACATCATCTCATTTATCCTCATACCAACCACATAAGGCCGATATTATCTATCCATAGGGATGTCTTGTACCATTGTCCAGGTTGTTCACTGCACAGGGGTCCCCGTCAAGGGAAATGTGTGAAAGCCAAAATTCCCGCAGTGCACTACTCACCAACAGAACCCTGCAGACCTGTGTCTGTACCAAGGTGCTATTCTCCTTATGTTACAGCTGAGGGAAGCAGGCTCTGAGGAGATGAAATGACTTGTCCAAGGCCCCAAAACTAATATATCACAGATAGAGGCTTCAGACTCAGGTCTGTCTGACTCCAAAACCTCTCACTTACACCCTGTTCAGGCCTGTTCACTTGTATCCCTCTCTCCCTCTTTTCTTAGGACCCCGCTGCTCCGAGTCCCCAGGGCGATGTGAGTACAAGCCCAGGCTGGGAAGCAGGCCACAGGCTCGCGGTCCTGGCCCTACGTCTCCTTCACCTTTCCTCTCCACGCCTCAACCTCCTCGTCTGGAAAGTGGGTATGCCGAAGAGCTCTAACGAGCTCTTCAGGAGGAAGCAACAGAAACCAACTTTGGCTCACTTAAACTATCTCAACAACGAGGGCGCCTGGGTGGCTCAGTCGTTGAGCGTCTGCCTTCGGCTCAGGTCATGGTCCCAGGGTCCTGGGATGGAGCCCCGCATCGGGCTCCCTGCTCGGCGGGAGTCGGCTTCTCCCTCTCCCGCTCCCCCTGCGTGTGTTCCCGCTCTCGCTGGGTCTCTCTCTGTCAAGTAAATAAATACAATCTTTAAAAAACAAAACAAAACAAAAAAACTATCTCAACAATGAAAACGAATGCCCTGCAAGGATCTGTGGCTGCCCATAAGATGGAAGGAGGAGGTAAACCAGGCCTGGGAAAGGCCAGAAACCATAGCCCCTCAGGGATCCAGCAGCGGGGACCAGGGAAAGGCACCTTTAGGTTAGTTCCCGAAATAATAAACCAAGCCCTGTTATCAGAAGAGGGGATGGTTGTAGCAGCCCCACACAGCTCATGCCCACAGCAGGGAGGAGGGTGGCCAGCTGGTAGGGATGACCCGAAGCAAGTGGACTCTGGGAGGGAAGCTCCTCGCAGGCTGCAAAGTAGCGTAAGGTGCATGGGAGTATCTCTCGCTGCCCCCCCCCGGCCAGGGTGGGGCTGCAGGGTCAGCAATGTTGGCTTCTCATCCCCGCTCTGCCACTGACCGGTCGTATGTCCTTGGGCAAGTCACTTTTCCTTCTGGAGCACACTTTCTTCATCCATAGAAGGAAAGGGATCATCTTTAGGGCCTTTAGTAACCCATCCCAGAAGAATTTGGGATATTAAAAGATGTTCCTGGGAACAATTGCTCAACCTGAAAGAATGAATCACAAATGGTGGAATTTCAGGCATCCATGAAGATGGTATTGGGTGGGGTTTTGTGAGTCACACCCAGTGGAAAAACACCCACTTCACCTGGGAGACTGAGCAGGGAGAGGAGCAGCTCAGGTCCAGTGCCCCCACCTCATGCCTCCAGAACCTTTGGCACGAGAGGGCTGTGGGGCCCCTCACTCGGGCGCAAGAGGTTGGTCACCCCTCGTGTCACAGAGCCTTTGTTGAAGGGACACACAGATTTGTGACTGCAGATGGAGGACATCAATTGTGCAAGGAAGACAGCAATTCTCCTCTCCAGGCCTCCGTTTCCACCTCTGTCAAGTAGGGATAAGGTCACTGTTATAACAACCTCCTGGGGCCCTTCTGAGGATCAAATGGAACAATACATAGGAGAAAAAAACCTAAGGAACCATAGGGCCCCAGTGCTGAATAAGGACTGGCATGGAAGCTTCCCGGGGCAGGGCCTGTGTCTGCCTTGTTCCCTGCTGCGTTCTCAGTGCGGCATGGGGTCCAGAGTGCAGCAGGGGCCCCAAGATTTTTGGTTGAATATTAGTAGCTCACAAGTCATATGTACTTATGTTGCAAGCACCGTTCTAAGAATTTTCCACGTGTGTACTCTTTTTTTTTTTTTTTAAGATTTTATTTATTTATTTGACAGAGAGCGAGAGAGGGAACACAAGCAGGGGGAGTGGGAGAGGGAGAAGCAGGCTTCCCGCGGAGCAGGGAGCCCGATGCAGGCAGGGCTCGATCCCAGGACCCCGGGATCATGACCTGAGCCGAAGGCAGACGCTTAACGACTGAGCCCCCCAGGCGCCCACGTGTGTACTCTTTTAATCATTACAATAATATAGATACTGTTATCTTCTCTATTTAGAGACAAAGAATTGCAAGCACAGGGCCTGCATCGCCTGCCCACGGCCCTGCCACTAGGAAGAGATCGAGCTGGGCTTTGAACGCAGGCGGTCTGGCTGCAGGGTCTGCCCTCTTAGACATAAATCTGCCTGCCTGAATGGCTGAGTAAGCGAGGGAATACATGAATGAACGCACGTGGGCATTGACAAATGAGTTCTGGGGTTCAGACGTCTCAAATCTCTGCTCTGGGGGCACGAGCTGAAGCTTCTCTTTTTTTATTAATGTATCAGCAGGTTCTGGTATTTCTACAAGGCACATCGAAAATGCAGCAGTGCATCCCAAACTGGTCTTCTCCCCTTCCTCCCAACCCCCCGCCCCCAATTTCAGTTCACATTGTCCCTGAGGACAGTTGCCCAAGACAGACGCTTCCGAGTCACCCTTGACACCTTTCCGTTTCTCACCTGGACACGCCCCAGGCCCCCTCCTCAAGGTCACAGCAGAAACTTTATCTCATACCAAGTTCATCCAGATGTCACTCCTGTCAGCCTCCGAGTAGAACAGTTTGCTGAGGCCCCTCTGTACTTTAAGATTTCATGAAAAGTTGGCTCCCCTATCCCATCCCACTTGTGAAGGGATCCATGCCTTGTCTCCCGGTCCAGTGAAACCATTGTTGCAAAATGGATTGACCAAAACTTAGTTACTAGCGGGAGCCTGGGTGGCTCAGTTGGTTAAGTGACTGCCTCCGGCTCAGGTCATGATCCTGGAGTCCCGGGATGGAGTCCCGCATCGGGCTCCCTGCTCGGCGGGGAGTCTGCTTCTCCCTCTGACCCTGCCCCCTCTTATGTGCTCTCTTTCTCAAATACACAAATAAAATCTTAAAAAAAAAAAAAAAAAAAAAACTTAGTTACTAGCCTAGAGCAAAATCATTTTATTATTTTTTTCTCACAGTTCTGGGGGTTCACTGGGCCTAACAAGGGGTTCTCGCTCAGGGCTTTTTGTGCCGTTGCAGTCGTGGTGAATGGAGTTGGAGTGATCCAGAGGCTTCCTCAGGCCCATGGCTGGCAGGTGACACCGGTTGGCAGCTGGAATCTCGGTCGGGACTGGTTAGCCAGAACACCTACACTTGGCCTTTCAGTGTGCCCTGGGCACAGCGTGGCAGCTGGATTCCAAGAATAAGTGTCTCTAGAAATAGGAAGTGGAGCCTACCAGTCTCTTAAGATTTAGGTCATTTCTACTGTATTCTATTGGTCAAGCAGTCACAGGACCAATATCTAAGGGGAGGGCATATAAAAGGATTGTCAGAGGGGCGCCTGGGTGGCTCAGTTGGTTAAGCGTCTGCCTTCAGCTCAGGTCATGATTCCAGGATCCTGGGATCGAGCCCCACATCGGGCTCCCAGCTCAGTGAGGAGTCTGCTTCTCCCTCTCCCTCTGCTGCTCCCCCTGCTTGTGATCTCTCACTCTCAAATGAATGGATAAAATCTTAAAAAAAAAAAAAAAAAAAAAA